GTTGAGGTTGATGGATTTCCACTCCATACGGCTAAATTTAGTGCCTTGCATGGTGTCAAGTATCAGGGGGTAGCACTGGGGGTAGATACTTAACATCCTGTTTGCTTTTTTGACCGCCTCTGCACACTGCGTGGACATCTTCAGAGAACTATCCACGATGACTCCAAGATCTTTTTCCTGACTTGTTGTAGCTAAATTAGCTCCCATCATATTGTATGTATAGTTGGGGTTATTTTTTCCAATGTGCATTACTTTACATTTATCCACATTAAATTTCATTTGCCATTTTGTTGCCCAATCACTTAGTTTTGTGAGATCTTTTTGAAGTTCGTCACAGTCTGCTTTGGACTTAACTATCTTGAGCAGTTTAGTATCGTCTGCAAACTTTTCCACCTCACTGTTTACCCCTTTCTCCAGATCATTTATTTATAACAAACCATGTATTTGGTGTTCGTTATACTATTTCAAAGCCAGAGGGTGCGGCAGCAGCCCTAGTTCCAGCACCATTGGATCCAGCCAGCCTGTCCGTCCAGGCCCCAGCCAGCCAGAGCCAGTTCCTCCTGGGGCCCATCACCAGTCAGCCCGTCCTCCCAGTTCCCCCTCTAACACATGGTCCCAGGGTTCATGACCCTGGGATCTAGCCAGCCCAACTCCCCCAGGAGCTCACTCTACCCCACTGCCCTGGGGCCCATTGCCTGGGGGGAAAGCCAGCCCACCCCTAGGCCCCAAGGCCTGAAGGTTCCAGACAACCCATCCCGCCCCTGGTGTCCCCTCTGGCTCACCCCCCAGGGCCCCATCAACCCATGCCCTTTGCATCCAGTGAGCCCCATCCCTCCAGGATCCCATCTAACCCACTGCCCTGAGGATCCACCTAGCCCCATCCCTCACTTGGACTCCCATTCTAACCCAATACCCTGGGATCCAGCCAGCCTGCCCCCCTTGGAAGTCCCCCTGTAACCTATCACCCAGCTAACCCATTTCCTTTGTAGGTCCCCTATCTATTTAATCTCTTCTGGGATTCCCAGCTAGCCTGCCTCCTTGGGAGGGGTGTCCCAACCAGCCCAGTTCCCTGAGTTCAATGCAGAACCAGTTCCTATAACATCTGCAGATCAGCATCCGAAGCTATAGGGCTCTCCCCTTTCTATGGGGACATTTGCATAGCTTAATTCGCCCTTTCTTTTCATTTTATCCTTTTACTCCTAGTTGTAGCTCCTTCTCCATCTCTCTTAGGTGTTTATGCCCTTCAGCTAAAGTTGTGGGGTGAGCCCTTAGATAGTTCTCTTTCCGTTGCCGGTTCTCTACTTAGGCCCTGTGGACGTTAGAAAAGTCTATCATTGTAATATCAGTCGATGTAGCCAGTGGTTTGCCAAGCTATAGCATAGTCAGTTATTTTTATCTTTCCTGACAAATCATTCCCTGCAGCCCTTTTATCATTTCTGTTGCTCTTCCCCAAATTCCTTCTCTCTTTTAGGGGAAATATAATCATGAAAGGGTCATGCCAGTCTCAGTTTTCTGTGCTCCATTAAAAGGTTTTTTCCTCCTTCGATTAATTCCTGGTAAAAGAATCCCAGTGTCATTAAAGAAAGCATACAGCACAGCGCACATTTTTTCCTTTGTTCAGTCATGTAAGCAATAGTTTTGAACCTGAACATATATAAACATATAGTACCTTTTAATGTTTGCCAGTTCACTGCAGTAACAATGGTACCATCAGAAAAAAACAGCAACCAACACCTCAGTCTTATTCTATACAGCAACTATTGAATTTTCTTGTGAATAGAGCTGAAATTAACTATCCTAGCCAACAAAGACAACATTAATTTCAATTTCTGTATCACCTTAGTATGATACCAAGGGCACCAAGAACCGTGATCTGTTTGTTAGATGCTGCTCCTGCAGGAGGGACTACAACAATTGTGGGAATACACTGATAGATTAAAAAATAGTAACAAATATTTAGAATTCAGAGGACTTTCCCCATCAGATGCTAACAACTTTTAGGTTAGGCTAAATGGAAGCTTAAAGCCCTGACAGTCTCACTTTAAGATTATATTCGTATTTCCATTGTAAAACTCTGTTTTTGCAAGGGATAATGATAACTTTGATATAATTTCCTAACAGAGTAATTATTTTGTCGACGATCACCATGGGCACATTTAAAAACAAACAAACCTCAAAGCGAAGTCTTATTTAGACATCACGGAAAAATAGAGGTTTAATATCCTTTCTTTGCTCTTATAACTCAAACACACTCAATTTTAAAATTAAGGCTTGATCCTAGAACCTTTACTCACATAAGTAATTCTCACTCATGAGCAATCCCATTGACTTCACTAATTAATCTTTACTCATGTAAGGGCTAGAGGATACGGCTCTTTATTTTTGTTCCAACATGTGCACTCAAATATTGCTGGTGGTGGTGGTTTTAAAAATAAGACAGCTCAGTTGAAATTTGGCTGTTATGTGTAGGCTTCTTTTTAAGTAACTACATTTTTAATATTCTGTATATTCTTATGTATAACGTAAATTGGCAAACTACACTCAGTCATGACAGGTAATGAACAGGGTTACTTTCTTTATAAAAATAAACCAGAGAAAGTTAATCCATAAGAGTAGGTATTAGTAAAATGCTGAACTGACAAATCAATAAAGGTCCAAGAAATGAAGAATTAAGGCTGAAGCAGACATGTCTGAATTCATCTAATTAAGTCTAAGTGGATACAGCATATACTGATATGTGATACCATGCACTATTTTTAGCCTTTTACAAGATGCTGCTGAAACTCCTTGCAGGATTTATCTATCAAACCCAGTACCTTTCTGCCCTCTCCAACTCACTTTTGCCAGTACTCCTGTCCTTCACAGATATGCTCAAGTATTCTAAAGGTATTAGCCATTCACCTAATATCTTTTTCATATCTTTTCTATAATTTCTGGTATCCAGCCCTAGTGGCTAGTCATATCAATTGGATATTTCACTTAAATATTAGTGAAGAATGTTGACATCTACACCATCACATTAGGCTTCAGAGTTAGCACCACCCTGAGATAAATCAGGGTCAGTTCACATCTCTCAAAGCACTAGTTTCAGGCTAACTCTTTACAGACTCACAATATGCAAGATTCTGAGCCTCTGACT